ATGGCCTCAAGTTGCGCCAGGGGAGGTCTTGGCTAGATATTAGAAAAAAACTTCTTCACTGGAAGAGTGATCAGGCATTGGAACAGGGTGCCCAGGGAAGTGGTGGAGTCATCATCCCTGGAGGTGTTCAAGAAACGTGTAGATGTGGTGCTCAGGGACATGGTTTAGTGAGTTAGGTGGTGTTGGGTTGACAGTTGGACTTGATGATCCTTGAGGTCTTTTCCAACCTTAATGATACTATTCTATAATAACAAAATTCACTGTATATAAAAATCTTATGGATTGCATGCACATTACCTGTATTGACTTACTTGTGAATCCAGGTCTTCTCCCTTCACACACAGGTTAGCATCTATTACGTTTAACCCAACTAACAGTCCAACAATAACTGCTCCTTCTTCCTCCATCATTAGTGCATGATATTCATAGAATTCACTGTTAAAGAAGAAAATTGCATCTTCTTGGTATATTCAGTATATTTACATCCAACAAATTAATAACGGAATCTAAATCTGAATTGTTTCTCTTACTTTACTTTAGCCTTACTCCAACATCCTTAAAGATGAACTGAGTCTGCCCATACTCACACCTCATAAATTTTTAAAAATTCAAAGCGCATGGTTTGTCTCAGAGGCTATTAAAAACAAAGATACTAACTTCAGCTCCAGCAATCTGAGCCACAAGCTGCTGGAGGGCTTCAGGAGGCAAGACCTATTTTGCCTTTAAAAAAACCAAACCAAAACAAACCCGAAAAGGCTCTTCCCTATATACTTGCTATTAGCCACTTTGGAATAGGATACTGCACCAGATGGATGTTTGGCCACACCGAGTAAGACAACTCTTATGTTGTTAAGAAACACTACAGAATACAAAAGAAGAATGGTAAAAAATTTACCTTGTTGTCGAAAAAGGTCTGGAGTTTAATAAACACATGCTTGAAATTAAAGAAGCCAAGTAAAATATTAAATAGGTAAGAAAACAGAAACAGGGCTGAAATGCTAGAAAAGTTTTCAAAAGAAAAACACTCTACTAAACAACAGAATACCAATGTTTACTTCTTCCTCCTTGCATCTTTTAAATAAAGTTTCAGACTCTATGAAACTGTGCTTTAAATTGAAAAGTCCACAGCTGTTGAACACCAATGACATCCTGACATACCAGCATTACCTAGGCATACAAGAAAAGTCTTAAAACACATATAGGTTATAGAACTGAAACTAAGGTAACTTTTTTTCCCTTTGTGCTTCAATTACCCCATCACAAAGGAGAAGTTATACTGGAAGAGAGCGATGCTAGTTCTAGAACTCTGAAAGGAAGGTCCAAGGCAATAGTCCTCCATGCAACAGTAGCTCAGTAGGAAACCACGCATATGGTGGGGGTGAATTAGTCTCTCCAGAGGCTTCCAGTCAGTCCTCTGCATGGCGGAGGAATGCAGCCCTTCCCCACCACCCTCATCTATGAAAGAACAGTCAGGCACGTTGCAGAAGGCCCACCCACATGACAGAGAGGAAAGAGCTCTTCACCCACCAGCTGCCCCTCAGTCTTGATGAGGCAGCAGAGCATGGTCCCTCTACCCCGAGGCCTGGGAGAAATCAGCCCACAGGCCAGACAGTACACCTTGCTACACTAAGGATATGTTAAAAAGTAGCAAATAGAAAATATATATTTTTTTTTCAGGAGACTACACCTCTAAAAGTAAATTATAAACAAAATCTACTTAATTGTTTACCTGAGCAGATCTCTCTGAATTATTAAACAGCGAAGATAGTCAGCCATTTTCTTCTGCATTAGTGCTAACCGTAACCAGGCACGGGCACGGCCCAGAGGGGTTCTGAAAAAAAAAGGCATGAAGACAAAGAGTCCCAAATCAACAATATAGCAATGAATTTACTGTCCTAAACATCGTATCAGTCTATTGGTAGAGCAATTGGTATTTCTGAAACAGTATTTTAAACTATTTGTTGCGCAATGCAGCCTGGGAAGCCGTAATGTCTAGCTTTGACTCCAAGTTTTGGAATAAGATCAGAAAAATTTTCACCAATGCAGCTCAGCTTGGGGGCAGACACTGGGAAGAACAGGAACAGAGAAAGCACAAGACCCTGACAGTAAAATTAACTGTTCCGCTCAGAGAGTGAAAATACGCAGTTTCCTACACACTGTTGTGTTTCAATGTGCTTTGTTCTCACACAGTACATGGTTACCAGAATTTTTAGGAATGGTGCTGTTTTCCTGTAAGTACCTTCTTCTTAACCTGACACTGCCTGTAAAGACAATCTTGAAAGTCCTGTTTCTAGCTGAAGTAAAACATCTGCAACAATCCAGACTCCTTTCTGCAACTTGCTTATAATGTCTTCAGATAAATTGTAAGAAAAGTAACTGAACGTCCATTACAACTCATCATGCCAGCTTGCCTTCCCAATCCTATTCTCTGGAATACATAACACATATTGAATTCCAGCTTTAACTCATACTTGTTTAAGAATTCTGTGCTATCTTAGAAAGACAACTCAATATAAAAATGTACGTAATGGGCAAACATTAACATCCAACAAATTAAAGCTGGACTTTTAGATCCTCCTCTTCTAATGCATGCACACTCAGAAGTGTTAAGTGCATAAATGCCAAAAAAACCCACCTCAAAACCTGCATGCTATATCAAGATAGGAACAGTGTAACACTTGGCAAAGGGCATTATTTTATCTAGCCTGATACAAGAGTAAATAACAATCTATATACCATGTGCTTCAGATAAGGTCTAAAGCTATAAATTACAACCCTTATGCTGCCATATATCAATCACAATGTAACCAAACCCTTCTGGAATTTACCGTACGGCCAATTATAAAGCTAAATACAAAAGCAGAGTGCAGAGGAATGGGAGGAAATTGTAGTTCACAGCATAAATTTACATTTGAGAAGGACCCTACACACAATAATCTGAAAAGCTGCCCAGGACTTTCCTCTTCAGTATGTTTCCTTTTGGTTTTATATAGCCTTTGTTGCAGTTCTAGACTTTAGACTGTTTGATACACAACATGTTCCTTTTCGCACCATTTTTGTCCACCATTCAGAGGACTCTTCTCCCAGGAACATCAGAAATGTACATAAGAATACTTTTTTGGCTGTTCTGTGCAGAAAATGAAAGGCTAGCAAAATTCGCCTGTGCTCTCCCCCAATATCATGTGCTACATGCTCAATGGCTTGATTACTGCCAAATGAAATCATGAGACATCTGCAGATTCTCCATCAGGTCCTTTATTTTCTCGCTGTATTTTACCAATACTACTTACTTCAGGCCAGGCAAATCTCTGACGCTTGCGGCTATTTCCTCAGCTTCTGGATATAATTTCTCCACAAGTTCCAGAGGACCCCAGATGGTTTTATTGTAACTTAGAAATGATTTTCTTACTAGGAAAAGAAAAATTAAGTCACTGACTGAATTTAAATTACTGGAGTAGCTTCCTTCAAAATAGCTAGTGTGACAAAAGGGTTAACTGCTGAGCCTAGTCTTCCAGATAACTGAGACACTCCTCATGCCATTCATCAGTATCCAAAGCCGTCTTTTGAATTACTTTGCTTTGAACATAAAACTGCTGTGCTAGAACAAAATAATATAAAAAGGATGACTAGTTAAAAATATAAGCTATATACATACACGCAGTTGTGGTAATCCCGGGACCACTTGCAACAAATGAATATACAAACAAAAAAAGAAAAAAAGTTGAAAAACGCGTCAAAATGTGTTGTGAAGTATTAGTAACAACACAATTAATCACTTCTTATAGCAACATAACACACTTTGATTTTATCTCATTCAAGAAAGAAAGAAAAATGGCATGTTTAGGATGAGAAATATGCAGGCAGAGCAATTATCACACCTTTAAGGCCATGCTTCAGGCAGTGCTCCATGACAACAAAGAACTGCTGCAAAGGTGGGTAGTCAGAATCCAGAGTGCGGCCAAAGCTCAAAGCTGATTCAATGAGTCCTTTGATACTCAATTTAGCCATGTTCAGTAAATTTGCTCTTTCTACGGCTGTAGGGTCCTTTACAGCTAGGGCAATAAATAAATAAATAAGTTGTGGTTCAGGTTTTAGAAAAGACACAAAATAATAAAACACTTCATGGCCACCCTGTTCAAAGAAAAACTTATCTGAATCTAAATAAACTCAGCAGAATAATTTAGTAAATGCTATGAATCACCATGTTACAGAAACGCATCCACTCCAACAAACACCCTTGCAAATCTTATGTTGTTTTAATAGGTGAATGAAAAAAACGAGGCCAGGAACGTCAGTTCTCAGGCAGTATGTTGTCTCCGTACATCTCAGAAGCAGTCAGTAACTGCAAATCAACACAGGCATCAATGCTGCACTAAAAAGCTCTGCTGAAGAACAGCAATCAATGCCCTTACCATGGTATCAAAGCAGCATTCCCATTAAGGTATGTATCTACTGCAGTCTACCTATAGAAACAGACATCATACTTACATACAATGACATTCTGCTGTAGTCTCAATTTCACAGTGACATAAACACTTGCTTTCTTTCTTAGGCTGTACATAGTCTCAGCCAGTAAACCTGGATCAGTTTCAGGAAAATATTACATGCTACATACTGAAATTTCAGTTTTTCATATAGCTGCAAAATGTTTTCTGCACAGGAAAACTTAAGAACTAAAGGTTTTGCTTTAACTTAAAAATGTTTTCGGTAAACTTTACAAAATGCATACTACAAAAATACATTTGAGGATTAAATCTAGTCAGTAAAAAACCCATAGCTTTTTAAAATAATCTTAATCTGACAGAATGGATCTGGTTCCTCTTCTTAGAGCTCCTGCTACTGAAACCAGAATGCTAAGACGATTCTTAGTTTATTTTTATTTGTAATGAAGCAGTTCAAATATTCAGGCCACCCTCTTATTTTCCCAAACTGAAACAGACAAAGCAACCCTCTGTTTATGCACCATGATCAAAAGAACTTTGAAAGAAGCGAAAAAAGTTGATGATTTATTGTTTCCTGCAATTAAATCTAACAAATGAAGTAAAAAACAAACAAATGAAGAACACAGGTCATCTTTTTAAAGACATTGAGACACAGAGCTCAAAATACCTATACAGATTTGTGTCTGAGAAAAAAACATGAGCCTCTTCCTGTGCAAATTTGAGTATTGGTATATGACTTTATCTCCTGCGCACATCAGAAAGCATAAAAGAACTGTATACATCAAAACCAGAAAAAAATAATCATTATAACAGATGGAGACTTTCTGGGTTCCTCAAACAGCAATGAAATTATTTCTCTCATTTCTTGCATAACACAGCTTTAGGTATTAGACATTAGAAACTGGGAAAATTATAGTTTTCTGTATTGTTAACTGCCTATCAAATATCAAACCACCCTATTACCATACAACATAGCCTATCTCAGTTTTCTAGGAAAAAATAAACGACTGAGATTACATACCTGAGATAACCTTAAAAAATACTTTTATAGTCTCTGAATTTACCAGTCCTTCACCAGAAAAACATTAAGAGACACTAGAAGACACAGCAGACAATCAGCAACAGTGCTCTGGCAAAAATTTACCCAGTGAGCAGCCACAGCTCACTAGTTTGCCTGTTGCCTTCCTGCCCACTCAGCTTCCAGGGACTGAAGCAGCCCTATGAAGAGCAGCAGCAGTACCCCTGCATGGAACAGATGGAGGCTTGCAATGACAGGAGCGCTTCTGTTGGCAAAGCTCATGTCAGATTTCCTGCTTTTTTTTTTATTAGGTTTGCTATTGACAATACTAAATATGAGTGTTACTGTAGGAAAAGCCTTGTTCAATTCAGACTTCAGGTGGATGGACTGAATATGTAGCGAGGGAGAGCTATTTCCCCAAAGGCATTTCACAAATTCCTTTTTCAGCTGACCTCATTTTGACTTTTGGAGCTGATCCTACCCACAGACAAGACACCCACATCTACTATCCTTTCAACTGTCAGCCCTCTTGCCACCTCTTTCTGATGCAGAAACACATCTCAGATTTGTTTTAAAGCATAAAAGCACAGTCTCCCTGCCTATAGCTATTTTTCTCCACCAGCTTCTTAAAAAGCCAAAAATAAACCAGGATTTAGAATTTCACATGGCATGTTTCCTAGTAACTGCTGCTCGGGGACTGTATGGGGCAGATGGCACCTGTATGGAGCAAACCGAGCTGCGAAGGGCTCTCCTCAGCAGCAGCAGCCCCCAAGGGGACCCCACGCAGGTGGCACTGATGTCGCCAGCGCCTGACTAGCCAGGCTTGGCCCCAGAGACAATAGTCCTCAGCCACTCGGGATGAGCAACCAAACCCTTACTGCAAGCAGTATTTCTGCAGGAAAAAAACCCCCAAAGGTGTATCCGGCTGCACAAGGTCTCCCTCTGTGTCATCGATGTCACCGGCAGCCGCAGAAAACAATTCTTTTCCCCAGCCCTCCCCAAGCACAGCCCCCCGCACTCCGCCCGGTTTCCACGACAGCCACCCGCACCTCCCGGGGACACGG